AGTTCCCGTGTCACCTCTGACACGCATGTCATAGGTTCACCATCACTGGCCTAGGGGGAAGATAAAAGAGAGAGCTGTTAGTTAAAGAGTACAAAGTTTCATTCATGCAAGATGAACAAGTTCTGGAGATCTAATGTACAATATCACTATAGTTAATAACACAATATCACTATAATAATGTATTGTATGCTTGTACTTTGCTGAGAGGGTAGATCTTAAGTGTTCCTCCCACAATAAAGGAAGGAAGGAAGGAAGGAAGGAAGGAAGGAAGGAAGGAAGGAAGGAAGGAAGGAAGGAAGGAAGGAAGGAAGGAAAGAAGGAAGGAAGGAAGGAAGGAAGGAAATGGTAACTTAGTGAAGTGATGTAGATGTTTATTAGCTTCATTGTGGTGATTATTTCAAAATGTATATATATATATATATCAAAACATCAAGTTGTACATCTTAAATATATACAGTTTTTGTCAATTACCTACACTAATAAAAGAGAAAAATGGTAATTGGCATACGGCACTACGCTTTTCATTGGCTAATCAGGGCTATATGCAAATTAACTGCCAATCTGCCAACAAGATGGCGGTTAATTTGCATATGTAGGCACAATGCAGGGAGGCGAAAGGGAAAGCAGGAAGAAGCCCCCTGCCACTGACAGTGATCGGAAACCCAGGGGGGAGCTAAGAGCTGGGGGGCAGGGCAAAGGCGGCCGCCCAGCCATGATCGGAGAATCAGGCGCCTTTGCCGCCCTGGCCAGTGATAGCAGGAAGTAGGGGTGGAGCCAGAGATGGGAGCTGGGCACGGTCGAAGCTGGCAGTCCCAGGAGCTAGGGGTCCCTTGCCTGGGCCTAAAGCGGAGCTCACGATCATGGGGCCGCTGCAGCTGCGGGTCCCCGCTGCCGGGGCCGGACGCCTAGGCCAGAGGCGTTAGGCCTGGGCAGGGGCGGAGCCTGCAACCCGGGGAGCTGGGGGTCCCCTGCCCAGGCCTGACACCTCTGCCGGAGGCCTCAGGCCTGGTGAAGGAGCCGATCCGGTGATTGGTGATCGGAGGGTGATAAGGGTCAACTCCTCTGGCCGAGGCATCAGGCCTGGGCGGCGGGCGGAGCCGGGGATTGGGGGGATATGATGGTCCCCTTGCCCAGGCCTGAAGCCTGGGTCAGAGGTGTCAGGCTTGGGCGGGGGGTGGAGCAAGCGATCAGAGGGAGATGGGGGTCCCCTGCCCAGGCATGATTCCTGGGCCAGAGGCCTCAGGCCTGGGCGGGGGCCAGAGCCAGTGATCAGGGGGAGATGGGGGTCCCCTGTCCAAGCCTGACACCTCTGGCGGAGGCATCAGGCCTGGGCAAGGGGCCGATCAGGCGATCGGAGGGTGATGGGCGTCTACGCCTCGGCCGAGGCATCAGGCCTGGGCAAGGGGCAGAGCCAGCAATCGGAGGGGTCTGGGGGTCCCCTGCCCAGGCCTGATGCCTGGGCCAGAGGCATCAGGCCTGGGCTGGGGGCAGAACCAGTGATGGGGGGAAATGAGCGTCCCCTGCCCAGGCCTGACGCCTCTGTCAGAGGCGTCAGGCCTGGGCAAGGGGCCGATCCTGCGATTGGAGGGTGATGGGGGTCAATGCCTGAGGGCTCCCAGTATGTGAGAGGGGGCAGGCTGGGCTGAGGGACACTCCCCCCACACACACACCCAGTGCACGAATTTTATATATATATAAAAGCCAAGTGACCGGAACGACTGGAACAACCGGAACAACTGGTCACTATGACATGCACTGCAGCCAGCCAACTGGCCCAATCAGAGGTGGGGCTGGCCAGCCAACCTTCTGCAGCCCCTCCCCCAGGCCGGCCCCACCCCCAATCGGCCCCCCCATCTGGGGCAGGGCCAGCCAGCCAACCTCCTGCGGCCCCTACCCCCGGCCAGCCCCGACCCCGACCGGCCTCCGCCCATCTTGGATGGGGCCAGCCAACCTTCCGCACCCCCCCGCCGGTCCCTCCCCCTAGCCGGCCGGACCCCGCCCATGCACAAATTCATGCACTGGGCCTCTAGTACCTCAATAAAGCTGGAAAAAATTTAATGAAATATGTAAAATTGTTTGCTGGTGAGAGCTCAGGTATAACTCCACCCCTTTTCTTTTTAATATATTTTTATTGATTTCAGAGAGGAAGGGAGAGAGAGAGAAACATCAATGATGTGAGAGAATCACTGGCCGGCTGCCTCACACATGCCCCCTACTAGGGATTGAGCCCACAACCCAGGCATGTGCCCTGACTGGAATTGAACCATGACCTCCTGATTCATAGGTCAATGCTCAACCACTGTGCCACAGCAGCTGGGCTTCTTTTCTTTTCTTTTATTGATTTTATTTTTTTTTTATTTTTTTTTATTGCTTAAAGTATTACAAAGGGTATTACATATGTGTCCATTTTATCCCCCCACCCTAGACAGTCCCCTAGCCTCCCCTATCCCCCAATGTCTTATGTCCACTGGTTATGCTTATATGCATGCATACAAGTCCTTTAGTTGGACCTAATCACTCTCTCATCTTACAAATTTAGAAACTGAGACCTCATTTCATCCAAGCAATTTACTCAGTGCGACACAGCTGGCAATTACAGAGCCAGGATCCAAACCAAGACAGGACCTGGGCTCTGTCACTCAGTCGTTGCCACGCTGACATTGAGTTGCCAACTAGATGATATGAGCGCTGGTTCCTTGCCAAGCCCAGTCCTGGAGTTCTTTCACGCCCCTACTTTCAGTTACTCCTCACATCAGCAGTATGAGGAACATAGCTCTCTGCATTAAATATCACATCTGAGGACTCACAGCAAGGATGCAGCATCACCGAGATTCCAACTCCGAAGTCTGCATCTTTCCCCTGTTATACCATATATAGTAGACCCTCCATGTGTTTAATTATCCTTCACATTTTTTTTCAAGTGTGCTATAATTTAGTGCCTCATGATTCACGTTGCCAGCATTTGTGAGTAAAGGTATTCCAAGCAGGAAAATCCAAACACTTGACACTTTTGGTCTAGGGAAGAAGTGTCGTTTTGTCCAAACTTTCTAATCATAACGACTTTATAGCAACAGTAACAGCAGCTACCCCTTTCTGAGCGTTGCAGATCACTTAGCATTGGGCTAAGGGCTTCCTATTTATCTCCTTTAATCTTCACAACAACCCTGTGAAGTAAGCAGTTCACCTCCATTTTACAGATGTAAAGACGGAGGTGGAAAGTCCATCCACCCCCAGGAAGAACCTAACAAAGACCTGTTTGCTTGTGGTGATGCCAAAATAAAGTGAAATTCTTTTACTCGGAGAATTGGAAAAGACCAGAAGATAGGTGAAAACTTTGATATACAACATGTATTTTCCTCTTCACATTCAATGCCCCAGTGACAACTGAACATATTAAGTAGTTTTCCTCTGATGGATTTCTGATTTAACACAGTCACACTCTCTCTTCCATAAGGGCTGACTTTAAAGAAAGTCCTGAGAGCCCAGAGGTGCAGGGATATTGTGGGGTAGGAAAAACACCCCCAAATAGAGTAGCCAGTGTTCCTCAAGGTATAGGACTTCCTGGGTATTTTGAATACCTTCAGGTAATTTCTTCAGGTAATTTCTGACCTGAGGCATGGAAAGAAAGGTAGTGAAGGTAGTGTTAAAGAAGGGAGAAGAGAGACAGCTGAAGTCAGTACATACGTGAGATAGTTTTAGGTGGCTTAGAACCAAATAATCCAGAATGTCACCGCTAGTCCACTGAGCTGTCAAAAGTTGATAAACACAATATATTGTTGGGAATGTGTGAGAGAGTGTGTGAGTGTGTGTGTGTGAGTGTGTGTGTGTGTGTGTGTGTGTGTGTGTGTGTGTGTGATCATACATATTTTTAAGATGAAGTGACCCCCTGTGTTTCTGCATGGTATGTGAATTTCATGCACACTAGCTCAGTCGAGCCTCCGCGAAGTGAAAAAGGGGTTAGCCAGGGACAGCTGGCCTTTGCAGGTCAGGACAGAGACTGGCAGAGACAACTGCATGACAGGTGCAGCAGGGAGGGGGTGGGCACACAGGACTGAAGGTGAAATAAGCTAGTTATGTTCAGAGACAACAAGCAGGCTGGCTTGGCAGTGAGAAACGGTATGCTCAGTGAAATGGCGTCAGAGCCAGAACTGAGTTTGAACCCTCGCTTCCCCCAGCACTGACTAGCTGTGTCATTTTGGGTGTTTCAGACTTCCTGAGCCTCCGTTTCCTCATCTGTAAAGTAAAGGCAAAATCTATCTCCTGAGACTGTGGAGAGTATGAAGTGCATAGTACATGCTTAATCACTATCCCTGACTCTTCTCCTTATTCTTGGTTGGTAAAGAGGAATGTGTCAGGGTGGAAAAGCACATGCGAGGTGCTGCATCTGGGCGTCCTCCTCATCATCGTCTTACTCTACAAAAACACTCTAGGAAAGGCCTTATGTATCCTCATTTCAGAGAGGAGGCGAAAGAGATTCGGGAAGGTCATGTAGCTTGCTCAAGGTCACTGAGCTGGTCTTTAGCAGAGAAGGAAGAATTGAAACAAGGGTCATGAATGTTCCGCTATATATAGCAGCTTTCTAGGCAACTGAAAAGGTATCAGTGGAAGGAAGCCACACAAGACAGGTTGAGAGCTGGCAACCAGCAGCCGGTGCCTAGATCAGTGTACTGATTTGCCTGATGTATTTTATGGAATTCTTCCAGGTAAAGCTGATGCTTTGCCATTTTCACAGACCTACTCTCCATTCTGGTTATTCACCTGAGAAATGAATGAAGCTAAAACAATTCACATTCTTGCCACCCTTTCATCACCTATAAGATAGAAAGTTTGGACTACATGCTCTCTGTAGTCATTCCTAGCTCTAAAATGCACGTGGGAGAAATTACAAGGCTTGGAACAAGGACCCCACATCACCATCTCAGAGCCAGCTCCCAATTGTGAAGCCTCTCACAGTAGAAATCCTCTCACTCACCAAGATGTTTAACCAGAGAATCCTGAAATAGTATATAAATGCTCTTAAATTCTTTATTTTAATTCAAAAATGTAAATGTGCCTTCACTCCATTTCATTGACATATGCCTTTCTTCAAGACCAGGTCATGTGGAGAGAGAGCAGCAATGAATTATGCAGACAATTAACTATCTCCAAAATGCATCATCTCCATTTCCAGTGTGAAGTTCCTTAAAATGGAAAAAAAAAAAAAAAAAAAACTTGAAATGGTTGCAAATAAATCCAAAAGCAGAATCTCTCTGGGTTTTTGTGTTTTTCCCCAATCTTTTGCTGTTGTTTCTCTCACACTTAATTTGACAGCAAACTTTTAGTGACTCACCTCTATGGAGTCTTTTTAAAGTATTCAATATAGTTTCCCTAGAAACAAGAATGCTATTCCTTTTCACATTCACATTTCAGCAGTTTAACTAAACTGTAAGTCAGATTTTGTCATTCTAGACAAGCTCCTCTGATGACTCACCCACTTACTGAAATGACAGGTGCTCTGCCCACCTCTCCAACTTCATCTCCTGCCATCCTCCCTCTTGGTCATGTGCTCCCGTCACTCTGACCTCCACACACTTCTTCAAATGGACAAGCATACTGCATATTTGCTATTCTCCCATTCTCTGGAATTCTCTTCCCTTGGATAGCTAGGGAGCTAGCCCTTATAATCAGGTCTTGGTTCAAAAGTCACCTTCTTAGCGAGGACTTTCCTATCACCCTATTTCAAGTAGCCATCCTTGCCTCCATTCAGCCTTTTCTACCCTATATTGTTTTTCTCCATAGCACTTATCTGGCATAGTATATATTTTACTCATTAGAATTTGAGCTTCTTGAGGGCAAGGATTTTGTTTGTTCACTGATGCATTCTTAATGCCTAGAATAGCAGGCACAGTTGTTACTCAATAAATGTTTGTTTAATAATAATCTTCAATATACTAACGAAAATGAGAATAATTTACAGGGAGTCAACAGTAGAGTAGATAAAGCCAAGAATCAAATCAGTGAGTTAGAATATAAGGAAGCAAAAAATACCCAATCAGAACAGGAAAAAAAAAATGAGGATAGTGTAAGGAGCCTCTAAGACAGTGATGGCAAACCTATGACACGCGTGTCAGAGGTGACACACGAGCTCATTTTTTTGGTTGATTTTTCTTTGTTAACTGGCATTTAATATATGAAATAAATATCAAAAATATAAATCTTTGTTTTGCTATGGTTGCAAATATCAAAAAAATTCTATATGTGACACAGCATCAGAGTTAAGTTAGAGTTTTCAAAATGCTGACACGCCGAGCTCAAAAGGTTCACCATCACTGCTCTAGGACAACTTCAACAGTACCAACATTTGCATCATGGGGGTGCCAGAAGAAGAAAAAGAGCAAGAAATTGAAAGCCCATTTGAAAAAAAAATAATGACAAAAACTTCCTTAATTTGGTGACAAGTCCAGGAAGCACAGAGAGTCCCAAATAAGGTGAGTGCAAAGAGATCCACACCAAGGCACATCATAATTAAAATGGCAAAGGTTAAAGACAAAGAGAGAATCTTAAAAGCATCAAGAGAAAAGCAGTTAGTTAGCAATAAGGGAGTTCCCATAAGACTGCCAGCTGATTTCTCAACAGAAACTTTGCAAGCCAGAGGGATTGGCAAAAAATATTCGAAGTGATGAAAAGCAAGGACCTACAACCAAGATTACTTTACCCAACAAAGCTATCATTTAGAATCAAAGGACAGATAAAGAGCTTCCCAGATAAGAAAAAGCTAAAGGCATTAACCACCAACAAACCAGTATTATATGAAATGCTAAAGGGTATTCTTTAAGAAGAAGAAACAGATAAAAAATATCAACAATAAAATGGCAATAAATACATATCTAGCAACAACTGAATCTAAAAAACAAAATAAACCGGACAGCATCATCGACTTCTTCCCGGAAGTTGAGTTTCGCCAGCCGTGGGAGAGGCCGTTACCAGAGTAAACGCAGTTCTGAGGTTTTTTTTAGGAGAGAAACCAAGATGGCGGCATAGGTTAATGCCGGAGATTGCTGCCTCGAACAACCACTTCAGAGATATAACTAAAGGACAGAACGGACATCATCTAGAACCACAGGAAGGCTGGCTGAGTGGAAATTCTATAACTAGGAGGAAAGAGAATATCATACCCAGACTCAGAGGAGGCGCAGTGCTGAAATGAAATACTCAGGTGCGGAGTGCGCGCGCGGAGCAGGCTGGCAGCGGAGGGCACGGTTGTTGTTTTCAATCGGGAGGGAGTTTCAGACTCTGAGCTCCAGATCCGGGCAAGTCTCTGGGGACCTAGACTCAAACGGGAGAAGCGGGACTGTCTGGCTTCGGTCGGAACTCGAAAGCAGCTTTCTCTCCAAGGTTTGCAGCGGTTGCTGGGACTCTGAGAGGCAGAGCCCCTAGGGACGGAACTGAGAGCCGCCATAACTGCTTGCTCCGGCCCGCCCTGTAGATCCCCGGGAACCTGCCCCACCCAAGCCCTGCGCAGAGCCATTTGCCGGATAGCCTCAGGCAAAGGCTAGATTAGCACCGCCCTAGAGATCCAGCACAGAAGCTCTCCCACTGCAGACACAGCTGACTCTCATAGCCAGTTAGCCTGGAGGTCAAATCACCCCTGGTATTACCGACAACAATGAAGGCTTAACTACAAGACTGCACACAAAGATCACTAGGGGGTGCACCAAGAAAAGATATAAAAATGCGGAGACAAAGAAACAGGACGCAAATGTCAGAAATGGAAGATATAGAGCTCAAAACCACACTTTTAAGGTCTCTCAAGAACTGTCTAGAAGCTGCCGATAAACTTAGTAAGGCCCTCGAAAAGACTGGTGAGACCGCAGATAAATGTAGTGAGATCCTCAAGAAATCTAATGAGACCCTCGATGTTGTGATAAAGAACCAACTAGAAATTAAGCATACACTGACTGAAATAAAGAATATTATACAGACACCCAACAGCAGACCAGAGGAGTGCAAGAATCAAGTCAAAGATTCGAAACGCGAAGAAGCAAAAAACACCCAACTGGAAAAGCAAAATGAAAAAAGAATCCGAAAATACGAAGATAGTGTAAGGAGCCTCTGGGACAGCTTCAAGCGTACCAACATCAGAATTATAGGGGTGCCAGAAGAAGAGAGAGAGCAAGATATTGAAAACCTATTTGAAGAAATAATGACAGAAAACTTCCCCCACCTGGTGAAAGAAATAGACTTACAGGTCCAGGAAGCGCAGAGAACCCCAAACAAAAGGAATCCAAAGAGGACCACACCAAGACACATCATAATTAAAATGCCAAGAGCAAAAGACAAAGAGAGAATCTTAAGAGCAGCAAGAGAAAGAAACTCAGTTACCTACAAGGGAATACCCATACGACTGTCAGCTGATTTCTCAACAGAAACTTTGCAGGCCAGAAGGGAGTGGCAAGAAATATTCAAAGTGATGAATACCAAGAACCTACAACCAAGATTACTTTATCCAGCAAAGCTATCATTCAGAATTGAAGGTCAGATAAAGAGCTTCACAGATAAGGAAAAGCTAAAGGAGTTCATCACCACCAAACCAGGATTATATGAAATGCTGAAAGGTATCCTTTAAGAAGAGGAAGAAGAAGAAAAAGGTAAAGGCCGAAACTGGTTTGGCTCAGTGGATAGAGCGTCGGCCTGCAGACTGAAGGGTCCCAGGTTCGATTCCGGTCAAGGGCATGTACCTGGGTTGCGGGCACATCCCCAGTGGGAGATGTGCCGGAGGCAGCTGATCGATGTTTCTCTCCCATCGATGTTTCTGACTCTCTATCTCTCTCCCTTCCTCTCTGTAAAAAATCAATAAAATATATAAAAAAAAGAAAAGAAAAAGAAAAAGGTAAAGATACAAATTATGAACAACAAATATGCATCTATCAACAAGTGAGTCTAAGAATCAAGTGAATAAATAATCTGGTGATCATAATAGAATCAGGGACATAGAAAGGGAATGGACTGACTATTCTTGGGGGGGAAAGGGGTGTGGGAGATGCGGAAAGAGACTGGACAAAAATTGTGCACCTATGGAAGAGGACAGTGGGTGGGGAGTGAGGGCGGAGGGTGGGGCGGGAACTGGGAAGAGGGGAGTTATGGGGGGGGGGAAGAGGAACAAATGTAATAATCTGAACAATAAAGATTTAATTAAATAAATAAATAAATAAAAAACAAAATAAAAAAACAAAATAAACCAACAAACAGAACAGAAGCAGACTCATAGGTATAGAGAACATTTTGAAAGTTGTCAGATGGAAGTGGGATTGAGAGAATGGATAAAAAAATGTGAAGGGATCAAGAAGTACAAATGGGTTGTTACAGAACAGTCATGGGGATGCGAAGTACAGCATAGGGAATACAGTCAATAATATTCTAATAACTACATATGGTGACAGATGGGTGCAAGATTTATCAGGATGATCACTTAGTAAGTTATGTAATGTCTAATTACTGGAGTTTACACCCGAAATTAATCTAATATGGTATATCAACTATAATTAAAAATGATTAAAAAATAACTTTTGTGATTGCAGTAAGTGTATTGCCTTTCTGACTGAATTGCATAACTACAATAATAAGTACATCAGGCTTGAGGAGGTTTAGGAACATACATAGCAGAGTCTTGGTAAACCAAGAAGCCAACTGGAAGGGTCAAGATTGTGCTGATGCACTAGAGCACAGACTACTAGACCTGGGCAGCCATGAACCTTGGGATCAGCCAGGGCATAAAACAGAGAGGAGCAAGATCATCTGTTAAATACAAATGGACTAGACAGCCTCTACTTTAACTTGATTAAATTGACCTCTCCAAGTACTTGATGCTTTCATGTTCAAATGCACAGTAACACACAACAACGTCAAATATACAAGACAGTCTAGCCACTTTTCTTCAGATAAAAGCAGAACGACAGAAAAAAGATGGGTTGTTTTTAATAGTCAATTACCTTTAGCAAATTTCTTAATCTTTCATCCTTTGTTCTTTATTAAAAAGGGGAAAGGTGTAAACTAATGCATGGCTTGCTTATTTCATTGGTCTATTGTAAGTATCAGGTGGATCAATAGCTATGAAAATATATTGAAAAATTATGACACACTCTATACAATAAGCAATTTTCTTTGTATTAACATGGATAACTGACTTGTCTATAATAGCTACTATAGCTCCCCAAAACTGATGATGTACTTTAAAGCACATTGATTTTAAAATGAGTCCTAAAATGTATTAAAGAACAAACAGAAGGAAAAGTAGGTTTTTAAGGGTATGAAATGAGAAAGACAGGAAAATGGCTTTCTCCTGATTCTTTAATACAGAAATATAAGGAAGAAAAAAAATCCCATAAATCTCCAGTTACTATATTACATAAAGTTCAGATTCAAGAATATTACTGTAAACACCCATAATTATCTAGACTCCTAGATATTTCAGAAATTTCTCATCTATTTCAACACCACAAGGATAATCCAAGATGACTTATTAATATCACACATGTCAACAGCAAGTTGTGATGGAAATGAGCAAACCCGTTCCAACCATTTCAGTTCTGTTTTTATTACAGCATTTATTAAACCAGAATAAAAAAGTGGTGAAGAATGACTTGTCACACCATTTATTAGAGTTGATGGAGCATAGACAGTTTTTTCAATAAGACTTTAACACACTGTTATGCACCATAGTACATTATTAATGAAAAGAAATGCATGAGACTTGCCTCAGCTTTTCCCCCAAGTCATCCTGACTTTAAATTCAAAATCAATTCTACTCTACATGGCAAAGTTTCAGCAATAAAATGTTAATTTGTTGTTTGTTGTTTACCAAATCTTACATTTATAATTCAAAGCAACAGTCAAGGATCCTCCACATTGCACTCAATTTAATAATCATACCTTTTTTTGGAGGGGTTCAAGAGAAGAGGCAAATGCAACAGGAAGATAAACAAATTGTGCCCTGGTGCATATCTGACAAGAGAACGGGATCTAATTTTCTCTCTGATTGAAAAAACACAAACGACAGCCACGGAATGCAAATTGTGCAGCGTGTTTGTACTTCTCCTCCAATACCCGAGTATCCAAATGGAACTAACTCACTCTGAAAAAGGTATTAGGTAATTGAGTATGATTGTGCCAGGATGAGGGATAATCCTCAAACTGAGAAGGAAAATAAACATATTTCAGATTGACAGGGTCACCTCACTCACTCAATAACCTCAGTCAAGCATTTTACATTCAAAAGAAATAAACCAAAAATATTAAGAATGACCTACCGCCAACAAGGAACCCTGATAGACGCAAGCACCTGTGGAGAAAAACAAAATAAGAATTAAAAGGGATGCATAGCAAGCCAACTGGCACTGCCTCGGCAGACTTACGGGAATATTGCATCTATATGCATCATAATCAGCAAACTGCACTTCCCAAAATCTTAAAAACTTGAGCATCCTGCCTCTGGGGGAATAACCTCATACACCAAAATAAGATTTCTTGTATATACATGAGAAAAAGCATCATTAATATTTAGTATCTGAGTTTTAAAATAAATGCATTTATAATGACATGCTATAATTACAGTGTCTATTTTCATTTGTGACAAATCAGCAAAGCCTCCATAATCCAGTCCCAATTGACTTATCCAGGCTTCTCTGCCACTCTTTGCTAAGACAAGTTCTCCAGTCCAACTCAAGAGGCCAACTTAGGACCCTGTGATAAAGCTTTCATATTTCAACACCTTTACTCATCTGTGTTATCTGCAGGAGATGCATTTGGTCTACTCAAGTTCAATGAACGTGATCCCATCTCCTTCATGAAGCTCTCCAGTCCATAGGATTATGCCCTTTCTCCTTTGAGCTCTTAGCACTTTGTGCCTACATCAACGGTTTGTAAATTCATTCTTGTGTACTTCCTTGTGACAGCCTTGCTAAGGGTGTGGAAGTGTTGTATCTACCCCCACAGATTTGCTTCTGTTAGAAAAGAAGACTGAATTTTATTGGGACAGCCTATATATTCTGAATAACTAGTGTATCATAAAATAAATCTTTTCTAAGTTTTAAATTTGAAAGCAATGTGAAATTACAACATTAACAAAAATATACACACATTCCCAACCAATTTTTGATCAGCACAATAGGTGTTGATTTAACCTAGAAACATGTGGGTAGTGTGCTAACAGCTACTCTCTCAGAAACTGGGGCTGCAAAGAGATTGCACTAGCAGAAGCACAGCTTGACACCATGCCACACTTGGTGTCCAAAGAGGAAAGGAAACATTTTAATTTTACTTCAGTGTTTGACCTCCAACAGATCATTCAAAAATATTAATCAGGAAAGGACTAATCTATCTTACCCACTAATAATGGAATTAAGAACAATCTTCAAAAAAAAAATGAGATGGCTATTTGCACTTAGCGTTTGAATCAAAGATGTCTGTGGGAAAGAAAAAAAAACAAAAAAACAACAACAAAAAAAGATCTCTGTGGGTAAATTTACTGAAATAATTTTTGTGCCCTTGACATTCAAATAACTCGAGATAAAAAAAAAAAAAACCTTGAGTCCAACTGACTTATTTTTCTTTAAGAAACCCTGTTCCTAAGACTTTCATTGAAAAGGATATATATTCATGTCTGACATATATATATGTATACACAGAGTGGGGCAAAAGTAGGTTTGCAGTTGTTCGTATGAAAAATAATACAATAATCAATAAGTAATAATACAAGAATAAACTCTGTTTTGCATACTCACAACTGTAAATCTACTTTTGCCCTACCCGATATATAAAATAATCATATATAACTCAAATAAATATATATCAAGACAATTCCATTTCTAAATTAAATGGATATATTTAATTACTTCTGATGTTTAAAAATAAACATAAAGATCCTCACTTAGGCACAATTTAACAAAATTTAACCTTTAGAATAAACAACAAAATTTAACCATTAGAATGAGACTATCAAATAATTTCATTGCCCTCCTCCATAACATTACTTTACAAAAGCCAATATCTTTTCAAGGCTCCAAAAGAAATCAAGTATCTGAAGAAGTATCCAAGTACCCACATCAAAGTCCACTTCTGGAAGTTTTAGGTGGCTGCTATAAACTCACTCTAACTTAAAAAAATAAAGCAGCATTGAGCGTGTGCCACCACATACACATCTGGTTAAGCCAAACACCTGCTAGAGACTCAGGTCAAAAAATGGTGTGTATGTGCTGGTAAATTCCATCACCAGGAAAGGGAAATAACTCAGTGTGGGTCGCTCCATGATGTACAATTCCAAAAGAATAAGCTTTGCCCTCTGAGGGCTTTCCTAAACCAGAACAGCTTTACCCGGAAGGCAGCTGCACAAATGAGTCTCGATTAACACAGCTTCCAAAACCTCATTTCTACTCTCCAGAGAAAATAAAGCATTCCAGTGATGCCCAGTCCTATCAAACATTTATCACCACCCATGGCCAGATGCAGTCCTCCAAGCAAGCATATTTCTCCCACACTAGCACATGCTTCACACCCAGCGGCAGATGAAGTTGGGAGGCTTGCTGGCGTTGGCTGCTGGGGGCAGCTTCGGGTTCTGACCTAGCGCACAGGCCTTTTCCATCATCGATCAACTCGTATAATATGGAAAACAAAATTACTCACTCCACTCATCACTTTCTTTCTTAAGGAGTACTGGAAAGACTGCAGCTCTATCTGAGGTTTACAGTTATGACTTTATTTGAACTTGAAAGGAAACTCCTCAAGGTGACTTCCGACAGATAGTGTTCTAGAAGGAGAAACAGACCTTCTTCAAGGGAAAACACGAAAAATCAGACAGCAGGAGCTGGAGTTCTCTGACCAAGAACTTTGCCAGTTTCAGGGCATCGGATACAGCTGAGATGCTAGCTGATTTAACTTCTAACACCTTGTGAGAAAGTGCATCAAGTTTTGCTGGGTGAAGTGATCAGATGCACCAAGAAGGCAGCTGAGCTCCTGGGGCCTTCCTCCCAGGTGGTTGGCTCCTTCCTTGCAAGTTACATAGGCAAAAGGTTACTTCATACCATTTAAATAAGTAAATGTCTGCCCTTTTGCACATTATAATGTACTCCTATATAGAATCTAAAGTGTACAGATAAAATCTGAGGTATAATTTGCACCAGTATTATTCACTATAGAAACTGAACCTGGTAAACTAAGTAAATTAGAGAAGTCAAATCCAAACACACGTCAGACCCATTAGTTCAAAGATCAGATATGACCATAAGATATGAAGAGATTTGGAGAGCATGGTATCACAAAAAATATGACTCCTGAGGATCAAGCAGCCACAAGTTGCCATTGAAATGTTCGAGCTTTATGCTGTGTAAAATCCACATCTGGCTTGTACACTGTGGAAGAGTGAAAGCAGATCCATTTTCTGTACTGACAGGACTATCCACATCCTGTTTCTTTAGATCAATTAATAAAGTAGTTAAAATGAAAATGGGCCAACTGTTCTTGAACTATTCTAAGATTTGGCACAGGGCTCTAACTTTGCCAGTGCAAGTCCCCTCCCCTCTCCTGGAAGCTTCATGATTACTTGTGCCTGGGCAACACTGAGTGATATTGCCACTCAAGTCCACAACAGTAAATGCAGACGGCTGAGCCCTCACTAAGTAAGGTACATGCGGTGCGTAACACCCAGAATCCAATCCCCAGAGAGAAAATGTCATATGATGCAATCAAGACCCTATGACAATTCAACACCTCTCTATTTCCACTAGCAGGTGGCTGCCAAAGCCAAAAGATGCAAAGTTGCAATTATTCAATATTGGGAAACCCACCAAGGACCAATGTTCACATACCCCTCCTCTTAACTTTATGGAATTGATGATTTCTGGGTATTTAAATTCCTAAGGGCAGGTTTATTATTTTATGTTTATATCCCCCTCACAGAAATAACCTCTCACATAAGCTCTCAATAAAGATTTGTAGAATTAAAAAGAAAAATGAAGAGAGGCTATTTTTCCCAGCCAATGTCTTCTCTTCCTTAATACTGAGTTTTAAGCATTGAATCTTACACAGAAGAAACTCTCCAGCCAAGAGTAGAAGCAAACATGCTGGTATACCCTTGGATAAAACACACTATCAACTGATCCTTCTCACTGCATTCTGTTAATGACATTTAAGGGAAAAGCCTGGAAGATTATAGGATTGATGGAAGTCACATGGTGCGTGATGGGACACAGGCTAGAATTCAGTTCTCTTAACTGCCAATTAAGGAGTCTTTTCCTATCCCCAAGCCAACATGTTCTATCATGTAAGTTCACAGGACTTTCCCATCAATACCACTCAAGATGCACTTCTCCAGAAAATTCCATGGCAGAACTTGTCAGATTCAAAAAGCAGCCATGTTTGCTGGAAGTGTCTCTGTAACATCTTAATTTTATATAGTTCTCAAACCATAGTAATTTGTCAGGTGGCAATATAAGACAGTGTAAATTATCTGTGCCAATAATTCATTTTTCTCTTAATAATTAAAAGAAAATTCAGATTGAGAAAGTTACAACTGACCACAGAATAAGGCAACAAATATTGATTTTCCCCCCTATGCTGGATGATTAGCAAAAGTATTTTAGAACTATCACTTGTCCAACTCTGCATTTGGTAAATGATGTAACCACAACCCAAAGAAGTTAGGTGATTCATTCAAAGTCATAGGGCAGCTTATTGGGGAAGCCAGTCCATCTTAGTTCAAAAGAATGTGATTTGGCAATACTTGTTCATCTAACCAATATTTGAAGCGCATACTGTATAGTAAGAGCTGAGTTGGAGATATAAGAATAACTAGGGCCCTGGCCGGCTTGGCTCAGTGGATAGAGTGTCAACCTGCGGACTGAAGGGTCCCAGGTTCGATTCTGGTCAAGGGCACATGCCTGGGTTGCGGGCTCGATCCCCAGGAGGGGGTGTGCAGGAGGCAGTCGATCAATGATTCTCTCTCATCATTGATGTTTCTATCTCTCTCTCCTTCTCCCTTTCTCTCTGAAATCAATAAAGAAATATATTTAAAAATAAAAAGAAGAATAACTAGGACCCATCCTAAGCCCTCAGTTAAGTGAGGGAGATTGAGACCAGGCCTTTATCAATACCTAGAGGCCTGGTGCACAAAATTCATACACTGAGGGGGGGGGGTGTCCCTGCCTGTCCTCTGGCAGTTGGGGTCCCCTCAGGGGATATCTGCCTGTAGGCTTTGGAAGAATAGCCCCCTTGCGCCCTCCACTCCTCCTTCCTCTTCTAAAGTTTCTTAAACTTTGCCCAATATATCAACCAGTCTTCCAAAGAGTGAACCCTGCAGGCTCTTAATAATAATGGCTTTTGTAATTCAAAAGATTTGGTTTTGTAAAACTGACTCATTCCAACTGCCCCCTGGTGAGCTATCTGGGAAAGATAGCACGATTTTCTGCGCTGCTGGGATGTGATTCTGAATAAGAAACTGCCACCACCAAATGAAAACGTAATTTTTCTAAGTCCCAAGTTGCGATTTGGGTGGCCTGGATCGATTCTCCCATCTGGTTTTATTATCATAATTAAGCCCTATAAGTGTTATTTTTTAAAGTGTGCACATACACCCGCACATATGTAATACAGACATGTTTCTACAGGTTTGCCCTGTTTGAAGGGAGGCTGCACAGGCCTCAGACGTGCTTTCCGCGGGGAAAGAGCGCATTGGACATACTTTCTGGGAGGGTGCGGGCAGGTAGTACCTTTCTCCATGGGAAAGTCCTCGCAGCTCTGCATGGACTTCCAAGGCTATGCCACTTTGTCCCGGGAAACTAGCGAGGAAAAGGCAACTGCCCAAGGCAGGGCTTTGTCCTCCCCGCGGCCAGCCGCCGTTCCCGGGCTGCGCCGGGGCTCAGCACCCTAGAGCCGCCCCCCACGCGCCACCAGGACTGAGAAGGCGCCCCGTCCCGCCCCGCCCCGCCCCGCGCACGCCGCCGCCCAGGCTGCGGCTCTGATTCGCGGCGGGGCAGGTGAACTCTTCCTCCCGCAGCTGGATGAATAATGAATGGAGCCGAGAGGGGAAGCCCCGCGCTGAGGAACAAGCCGTCTTGCTTCCAGCCCGCCGCCCCTTCCGCCTCCCGGCGCCGTAGCTAGGCGGCTTGCCCGGCTCCTCGGAGCAGGTGGGAGCTGGGGACGCCTCGGGTCCCCGGGCCCGCCAGCCCACGACCCCCAAGATCTTGATGTACTTATTGATTCATTTCTTTCCCTGCGCCCAGATTGCTTTTGCTATCATGGCGACAACAATGCCCACCGTCTCCTTTCTCTCCCCCGGCTCCGGGGTGTTCTGGAAGAACTGACTTTAGCTAAGTCAGAGAATTAGGCTAAACTTATTAGCCACTGGTTCTCCAGGCGGGAAGCCTCCTGCTTCTCTGTACTGGGAAGATTTCCTTTCGTGCCATGGAATTGCCTGCGTCCGGAAACGCTCTAACCAGCGAGTTATAAAATCTTCACTGGACTTTAAAGGGAGACGTACTGGGATGGGGAGGGCTGGAGAGCAATGGGGGCTTTAGGTGCCAATGGTACGTTTCATAGGAGCAGAGAAAAAAAACGTATTTTACACAGGTAAGAGCACTTGCTCTCTCGGCACCTAACGCTCCATGTAGTTGCTTTCCATTGGGGGCCGCGGGGAAGTGGGAAAATAGAGAATCCAGTTTCAGAGACTCCACCTCAACCCGGCACCCACCCACCCACCCAAATGCACTTCGGGCAGAGAGCGAGGCGGGAGACCGGCTGGTGATCCGAAGGCAAAGCCATCAGGAGTGGAAGTCTCAGAAAAAGCCCACTCCGGTTCTATTCCCACCCACCCATCCCCCAAAAAAAACTTTCATCTGGCCCACCATACCATAAACCCGCCGGGTTTGTTAAACAGCACGGACACACACACACACACACACACACACCGCCGCTCCTCACCTGCAGAGCGAGGAGGCAATACTGCAAATTCCGCCAGTGCTAGGGCCACCCCGAGCCACACTTGAAAGACACCCATCGCCGCCTGGGCTCCCGCGCTGGAGGAGCCCAGCCTTCAGCATCCAAGAACCCGCTCTCGGCCAAAACGCGGGCTTCAGGCGGGGGGCGGCGGGCGGCCACCTCCTGGAAAATGAGGCGGTGAAGAGCTCTCTCGCCGGCCCCGGAGGCGCCGGGAGGGCGGGGGATCCGATCCGCTCTCTGCCCAGCTCTCCAGCAAAGCAGGGCGCCAACGCAGGCTGAGCTCGGGAAGAGGCAAAGCGCCGTTCTCCCGGGCGGTCTCACCGGAAAGTTGCGGGTCACCGGCTGATGGGCTCACCCAGCATTTCCCGGAGGCCGGAGCCTTCCGCTCCCGGGTGCCCCACCGTGGAGATCCCCGCGCCGGTGCGTCTGCAGCAGCTTTTGAAAGTTCGCTAGACACCTTACGTCGGCGCTGCGTCGGCAGAGGGGGTCGTCAGGAGCCCGGAAGGGCCCACCCACCCACCCTTCTGCGGGCCACTGGGCTCGGCGGACCTCGGCCGCGGGGGGCCGCTCGCAAGAAACTTTGGGCTGCGCTGCGGGCAGCTCCGGGGACTCGCGGGCGCTGCAGCCGCGCGGCGCCGCCTCGGGCTGCGCTCCCTGCAGCAGAAGGTCCTGGAGCTTCCGAGGAAAGACCCGGGCGGCGGCGCGGGGGGCGCTGCAGCTACTTTGCTCGCCCCCGACCCCCACCGCCGCGGCTCGCTCCACGCCCACAGCTACCTCCGCACTGAACGCCGCGGAGCTGGTCTGCGGGGTCGAGGTGTGCTCATGGCAGTGGAGGAGGAGCCATAATTGTCAATGCGCGGAGGAAAGAGCTACAGGGGCTGGAAAGAACCCCCGAACTCAATGCCACTCACACCCGAGAGCCCGGAGACGCACAAAATAAGGCCCCCTTTGGATGCCCGCGTGTAAGAGACACGCTCCGCCTCCCTCCCCTCCCTCCTCTCTCCCGTGCTGGGCGTGAAAATGGACCCAGGGACACGGAGCTTTGGCAAAGATTCCAGAGAGTCACGTGGGGAAGGGGGGACGCGGGGAGGGGTGGTGGTGAGGGGAAACCTAGAGAGCAACCTGATCCCCTCATTCGTTCTGCCGGAGTTCAGATTGCCTTTGTCTGGAGCGGGATCGAAAGTGGTCACACCAGGGAAGGGTAGGAGGGGAGATGGCGGGGTCCTTGCTCAGGCACAGCTGAGGACTGTGCGAACCGGGTCCACACCCCTCACGCAGGGAGAGACCCTCTCCGGAGTAGGGGACACCTCCATTCAAAGGCCCTGGCGCTACCCTCACCCCACACCCTGCCACTCCTTCTGGACTAAGTGCGAGAGGCGGACCTGATCCTTCTTCCTCGCTCTGGGACCCTCCGTCGCCGCATCGTGGGTTTACCCAGCAGCCTGGGAGGATCCTGGCGTGTGTGTCCTAGCGGGGCCTCCCACCGCGAAGGCACCTCTACCTCTCCCGGCTGCGGTCTCTGCGCGGTGGCTGCAGCCGCGCCCCCAAACGCCCCTGACTGGGAAGTAAATGTCAGGGCAAGGCAGACTCCAGCGCACACTCACAGAGCAGAGGCCTTGATTCCTGGTCAGCACTGAGTAAGGGCAGCTATTTTTTCTTTTTTTTTTCTTTTTTTTTTTTTTACCAAATAAAAATAGCTGGTCTAAGGTTAAATAAGCATTCCATAAGATGAGAATGGCTGCATCTAGGAGATGCTGGCTGGCTGGCTTCTGATTGGCCCAGAGAAGAGACATCCTGGGCCCCTCCGCTGACCTGCGATGGACGAGCCTGTTGGAGGGGAGTTTGTCCAAGCACTGAATGCCAAGAGGGGTCCCTCTGTTTAACTCACTAAGTGGTAACTGGCAGATCCCTGGGACTACTCTTTAGCCAGAACTAAGAGGAAACCTCTGACAACTGATTTCTGAGTGCTGAGAGGCCCCAGGTATTGTGCAACTGGCTCTCTGGCTCTCCTGGGTTGTGGTGGTCTCAGGGATAGAGACTTTTTCAGTTTGTGTATTTGCAGCACATTGTAGGTGCTCATTAAAAGTCTGCTGAGGGAATGAACTGAGAAAACCAGTAAATCCCTGAGAGCAGTGACCATATCAAGTGAAGTTGGGTGTCTTAAACCCCCCCCCAAAAAAGTATCCCCTCCCTCTTTTCTTTAGAAAGTTGATGTTTTCTCACTCCCTTGTAAAGGGCTGTGAAAACTCTGCTTCAAAAAGTGTTACTACCCCTACCCCGCCTTATAGAGGTTTTGTAGTCACCACTGACTAAGAGTAACTTAGACAATTTGCTCTTTCAAGAGTCAATTTGATTTTATAAAAAAAAAAATCATACAATCATGGCACTCGAATTAGTCTCGATAAGACATCTGTTATTTTTATGCTAAATGCAAATGTGCTACTTTTTAAAAAGGGAAAGGAAATGAAAGAAGGAGGGAAGGGAGGGGGGAGAATCGCATCACCAAGTTTCCCCAAATTCATCATATGCTATATTTATAAATAGCTTCCCCTTCCACCACCAGCCTAGCGCAGGGGCACACACTGGCTCACTGGACTCATCCTCCCTTTACCCTGATTACATAGAGAGCTAGTTGGTAGCCCCAGAGTCCCTATACCAAGATCCTTGGATGACCAAATGGTTAAAAGGCTCAACCAATAATTTAGTAATATTAGGCATATCGGGTGCCCTTCATGTCCATTTCAATTGAGATATTGGAAAAGGAATTCTTTTAGCACAACCTGTTCCATTATGATGGGAGTTTAGTAAGCACTTTTATAGATATGCAGCTACTCTGAACTAGCCCATCTCTATAAGCTAACCTCTACCTATGAGTGCTCTCTTTCAGCAGCCAGTGCTTCCAGTGACGGGGAGTTGGCAGTTCACTAGCCAGATACTTGGGTCTATAGCTTCAATGCTCTTCATTCACACGTCTGTATTCCACAACTTCTGTTAGTATGACCCACAATATCTCCTTGGCTCAGCCCTGCTGTCATCGACTGACATTTCCCTGGCCTTTTGCTGCCCGCCTTGAGGGACTGACTTATCAATTCCTGCTGTAAATGATAGTGATAACAGCAAGAACAGCTAACACCTATTGAATACTTTGTTCCTAACACTGTATCCTTTCCCACTTGATCCTCCTGTAGCCTTGTGAGACAGGTACTATTATTTTTTCCATTTATAGGAGAAATCATTAATGTTCAGAGGGTAAAATAATCTGTCGGAATTTAGACAGCTAATAAATGACAAAGCATATTAGAGCAGGCAACTCTAGCTGCAATAACAGACAACCCCCACATTGCAGTGTCTTAAAACAACCAAAGTTTATTTCTCAATTACATTCTGGCCACTGCCCATAGGTGGCCACTGATATTGATGTCTTCTTATTGTGAGGCCATCATGGAACACAGGCAACTATTTCTGCATCCAGGCAAGAGGGCGATAGAGGCATTGCAGTACCTAAGTCTTTCTCTCAAGCATCCGGTGACAAGAATAAGTCACATGACCCCAACCTGACGGCAAGAAGGGCTGGGGCCCACAGGGAACACATGGATGTGTAGTGACCACTAACTGTACTGCTCCACTCCAGAGCCCACGCTCTAACCATCTTAACTCTCCGCAGCTGCACTAGCTCGTTCTCACCAAAGCCCCAGGTTGAACCTTCTCACCTAACGCTCAGGCTTTGCTGACCTTCACTGCAGATGCTCCACTGTTTCTCCAACCTGTCCTTACTCCGCTTTGCTGCTCTTCCACTTCGCTCTCCTTTCCCCTTCTCCCTCCCGTCCGCCTTTCCTCTGCCTCTCACGGTCTTTGTTCTGTACAACCCCACTCTAAGTATTAAGTCTTGTATCTTTCTCCTATATGTGCCTTCTCTGAATTCCTTTCACCTGCTCCGGCAGTGTTCCTGCAGTATTTGTGCATTTGTTCTGGCTTGTCACTTTCAGCATGTGACAATATTTATTGCTTTGTGTGTGTGTGCTTCAAATAGTTACATCAAAAAAGAATAGTCAAATAATGCAGAGTATAAACTGATGGGCTCTGCTATAATCTAAAACCCTTCTCCTCCCGCCTCCGTTCACACACACACACACCATGTCCACAGAAAATACATTCTGGCACTTTTCTGTGCTAAACAAATATAATTATTTTTTTATAAAAATAGAGTCAGGGTTTACATGCTATTTTGTAACCTGCCTTTTTTCTCCCACTGAACAAAATAGCTAGGCCACACGTTTCTAAGCCAAATCATATTGATCTGCCTCATTCTTAAGTGCTGCTTGGGTTTACACTGTATGGATACGTCTTTACCTATTTAGCCAAACTCTTTTGAAGAACATTAAGGTTGTTTCCAATTTTTTGCTGTTATAAATAATACAGCACTAAAACATCTTTATAAAAGTTCTTTGTGCACTTACCTAATTATCTCCCTAGAATAAATTTTGTAGTGAAATTGCTGGGTGAAAAGCAGGCATATTTTTCGTTTTCATACAATCATTTAATCTTTGCAAATTCAAAAAGTAAAATAGCATTTTGCTTAATACCACTTATTCGCTTTGTTACCTCAGGCATATTAACCTCCCTCAACCTCCGATTCCCTGTCTATGAAATGGACATTGTAATAGTGCCGACCCTACAGGACTTTTTTTTTTTTTTTGCATTAAATAAGATAGAAGGACCATACCTGACACAAGTTAGCCACTTCACAGATGTTAGACAAGTGGAATACAGGTATTTTTTAAATTTGCATTTCTTTGCTCTTTAGTAAGGTAAAACTTTTTCTTATACTTACTGTATTTCTTGGTGTGTGTGTAAATAGGGTTTTTTATTTTATGTAGAATTATAAGTTTTTTTTTATATATTCAGGATGCTAATCCTTTTTTATGAATGTGGACATTGCTATGCAGAAAGGGAGTGATCACCGGCCATTTATTTTTGTGGAAAATGATAGTTCCCCCAGTAGTGTTACTGGAAGGACATGTAAGACCAAAACCAAGAGAGAAAAAAAGGCTTTTTATCTAGAACTTTTTTCCTGAGATAAAATAAACAAAAACCCCATTTGGAACAGCCCCCCAATCCTTACACACTGGTTCAGTCTTTTCTCACTGGTCAATACCCCTGCTTCATCAGTGGTTAATCATTTTAATATACCCCTTGCCTACCACAGCAACATAGCAGAAAGCCAAATATCAGAGGCCACTGAAAATGCCAAATGGTCACAGCAGCCAATAAAGGAAAGTTGCTAGGTCATCTCAGCACATTTAATCTTTTTTTTTTTTTTTTCAGCACAGATTGCACAGGCTTTGTTTTACAAATAAAAGTCTTAGAGTTCTGGGCCTGATTCATCCTGCACTTCACCATTGCATACTAACTTCTAAATTTTTTTTTAAACTTTGTTGTTCTCTGTATCACCAAATATCTTCTAGTTACACCTCAACCACCTTGAATAACC